AGCCTTGGCATTTGGTAAATTCTACGATCAGTGACTTCAAACTTTCATTGCTTTCAAAGTATCCTGTTCACAGCGCCATGTAAAGTGCAGAAGACGTCCGCTGGACATGCTTCTGAGCAATACTAAAAAAGCAAATGGCTGCCTCCTTTTCACTTGTATTTATACACTCCAAAGGCAGATAACTCCATAAACATCTATACAGGCCCAAGGAAGTAAAACCGAATATTCATGCACAAATGACAGAGATGGTCCAAGGATATCTTAGATCAAAAGAGGTTGGGGGATCCACAAACCAAAGCATCTAAGCAATTTTGTTCCTGAAATGGAAAGAAAAAAAGCGAAAAGAAAAGAGACTGAAACTGGATCAGCAAGGTGAGGCAATGAATAACTTAGAAATAATTAGATAATAATTAGAAATATATTTTACATATTGCTTTAATCAAACTAAATTGAACTACCATTCACAAATGGACAATGAAGATATTCTTAAAAACTGATCCACTTATCGAAAAATAAAAGAAAGAGAAAATGTAAATTGATACTCCTAGGAAAGATGTGTTATAAACAGTAATACATTTAGAATTACTGACATTGGTTTCATCCAGGTATCATGTAGTTTTACCCCATTTTAGTTATTGTATATATCCTCTTTTAAATGGTTAAATGGAACACATGTGTCTTTGAGTTGTCCCTAATGAAGCCATTATCAACCCACTACAAAGAAAAAAGGTGTTTAAAAATAAAAATATAAGATATTTTTATTTTTTTAAAATTTTTCTGAGAATGTTTATGTGTTAAATATCTTACAGTACTTCTTTGTAGTTGTTTGCTAAGATGAAAAGAAATATGATTTCTTTGTGTGTATGTGTGAGAAAGAAGAAGCAAGGGAGAAGTGAGGAGGAAAGTGTAAGTGTCACATAGCTTGGTGAGGAGATGAATGAGTAAGGGAATTTCTTTTAAGCCGAGCGTCATGAATTGTTGCCATCTGTTGCTGTCTGATTCTCCTTACTGATTTGTCCATCTAGAAACTTTGCTTAAATACCCTTCGAAGGGATCATGAAGCCTGTTTTTATTGTTGGCGGAATGCAACCTGTTGGTTGAAAAACATTAAATATTTATTTTCAAAGCATTAATTTATTAGTCAGAAGAATGCGCAATCCTCTGGATCAGAAACCTGTTTTTTTGTCACTTGGTGTTTGACTGCCTTGCTGTATATTTCCGCATTCACTCCACAACCCACTCAAATTATTATAAAACAAAATTCATTTCCAACATCTCCTTGGCAAACCCCCTGACACACTTGATCATAATCATCATCATCCCATGATTTTTGGGGAATCCAAATGCAGAAGCCATATTGAATCTCCTCCACAATGGTCTATCAACAGCATCTATCAGCAATGCTGGTATAGTCATGCCATTGTTTGACATTGTCCAACCAGTTTTTGCATTGGTGTCCTCTCCTGCATCCACCTTCAATGATGATCTTGCACAATCTGCTGTGTCTTGTAACATGCCCAAACCACACCATTTTTCTCCATTTGACAGTGGCGAGAAGACGTTTCTGGCAGCGCACAAAACTTTTAATCCTTTTCCACACAATCTCATTGGTTTTATGTTCCCAATAAAAGATGCCTATACAACAAATATCAAAACAACTCAATATCAAATGTAGAGACTTTAACACTCTATATCTTCATCATTTGCTTGGATTACATTCCCAGAACGTCAGTTGATATCCATGAAAACAATGAATTCACACTACATCCATAAAGGAGTAATAGATATCCTGTCATAAAAATCACAGATGCAAATTATGCTTATGATTTAGTGCTTACTCTCTGATTTAATAAACCAAGCAAAAACCCTTCGCTATAGTCTTGAACATTCAGCCAAAGGTCTCCCTGTTAACTAAAAAAGTGGAATACATAAGTTTAAATCAAAATTGAACAAGCAAAACAGTATCTAGCACACCTCTGTGAAAGTGATGTAAACGCATGCATTGTTATGAGTGTCTTTGAATATTGTTTGGAGGGGATCATCTAACAATGAGCAATTGTATGGGAATCTTTTTCCAGTCAAATCATCAATGAACATAGTCAGTTTTGCAGTGTATTGCTGGAGAGTTAAAAACAATTGTTAGTGAAGTTCTTTTGTGGGAGCTTACACAAGGAAGAAGTAGCAATTCTTTTAATGAAAAGAAGACCACAAGAGGCACCCACAAGCAGTTTTTATTTTTACTGAGAAAATAAAATATTTTAGGAAGGTGGAATAATAAAATTATTTATAAGTTAGCAGATAATATTGGGGGAAAATGGTAAACCTGTTGGAAATATTTTATTCAGTAAAGTTAATATTGGGTAATAAAACTTAATAAGCAAAACAAACTTTTGGGTCAAATATTTTAATTTGTCAATGCAGAATATACACTGATGTGACGTCGTCCCCCGGTCGCAGCGCCAGCTGTGACGTTCTATCCTGATCTACCACGGCGCCAGTTGTGACGTGGCCGTTCCAGGGTCCTATCCCGGTCACGACACCAGTTGTGACGTCCCTAAACAGCACCAATTGTGACGTCATCGCCGCGGCGCCAGCTGTTCGCTCCTCGCTGCTCTGTCCGGGTGTCGCTGCTCCAAATGTGATGTTCGCCTGTCGCGTCAGTCGTGTTGTCTCATACTGTGACGACCAACTGGCTTGGTATCTGTCGCGGCACCCAAATGTGACGTTCTAACCTTTTGGTGATTCGGGTGGGAATCTGGTTAGATTTGATATCAGCCTCGCCGTTCCCAACCAGCTTCCAATGCCTGGTTACCAAGGTAACTGCACTGATCTCCAGTCTGCCTACCCACGTTGTGAATTGATCTTAGACAGACGAGATCAAACAGGGGTTGGGGCCGTAATGCAAATTGAGTTCAACGGGGGTGATAACACACAAATATGCATAAAATGAAAACTCAAAAAGTTCAAAGTATCAAAGAAAAAGGTAACAAACTTTATGTCTAGTTGTTCGATACATAGGACTGCATCTATCTCCCAACCAGTTCTGTGGATTGTGACACGTCGCTTTCGCTAGGCAAGTTTTAACGCTTCAAGTTGTTTGCTCTCTAAGAAATTTGTGTTTCGGTGTGTCTTTGGACGAAAGTCGAAAAACTTATTTCTGTGGTCTGGTTCTAAGTCGCTCTTCAAAATAATTGTTCTTGGTTGAAGAGGAGTCCAAAATTTTGTGTGAATCTTGGTCAGCTATCTTGGTCTATCATCTCTGCCGCCAGGGCCGAACGAACTGTCTTCTGCCCGTCAGGGTCTGAACTAACTCTCTTCTGCCCGCCAGGGTCTGAACTGATTTCTGCCTGTTGGGGCCTGGTTTTTTATTGACGCCGACAAAAACCGGGTTGGGTCTGTTGGCGTCAGGGAGTTCCTCGATAATTCTAAATACATATCCACCTCTTTTATTTCTGGTTAGGGACTTTCCACTTTTTTCCATTTTTAGTAACTTTTTTTTTCACTCCCACTTTCTCACCATGCTTCTGAGGGGCGTGAACTGCCCTCCCCACTTCTTCGTAGCGGCTTCTCATACTTATACTCTGGATGGGGTGTCGACAGTCTTCTTCGTGTGCCACGTGATCACTCTCAGCCAATGAGGTCTTGGTCGGTATCTTTCCTCCTCCTTCGTCGGCCATGTGATCACCACTTGACCAATGACGTCTTAGTCGGGTGTGAACAACCCGCGGCTTTGTTTTGGAAAAGAAATACTTTGCTTAACTAAAAAAAATTAATTAAATCGCCGTTATCATGAACGGATAATATGACAACTCTTTGCTCAACACGTGGCGTTTGTCAAGCAGTTTATCGCTAATTCATCAGATGGCTGGTTTTTCCGACATGGTCTCAGAAAAGAATTTTCTCCAAGTTTTCAGTCAGTCTGACGTCTCCAAGGCAGAAATAAAAACATTTCTTATTCCATTCATTTTCCTTCGGTTCATGTGTCTGATAACAAAATTTTATTATCGCAGGGCAAAAGTCTGTTTTGTCGAAAAGAGCTTAACTAGTGAGACGGCTTGGGTGGGATTTTAATTTTCCATATCCAGCTAAGGCTCCAAGCTACACCTGTGTTTTGTCAATTATCAAAATCTAACGTTTTCAAGTGGACTTTCTTTGGCGAACATTTCTTGATAACACAATTCCATTCGTGCAGGCCAAGTGGGGAAATCGGTCAATGTTTGCTCGCAGGTGGCCTTTAATTTTCATATCTGTCCAAAAGTCTTTTTCTTCAGTCGCCTGTTTCTTGTCGTCACTTATCGAAATAACATTTTCGCTGGAATTTTTTTTCCTGGCCGGTGGCCTGTGTTTTTATAGTAAGATGCCTTCTCGTACCAATAGTTTAGATAACACTTCCCTACCCACTCAATCTCATTGTCATTGTAATGACACTCCTTTCGGCATTTGCCACTTATCCAAAATAACCCCTTTTTTTTATTGCCTCTTAAGCCGTGTGTGTGTGTGTTCGCCTATGATCCGTCTCGCATTACTTTTTCCTTCCTTTCTTCTTTTCTTTCCTTTTCCCTTTTTGCCTTTCTTTCTCTGCCTGGATGCATGGTGCCACACTGAAGTTTCATTGTAGCTCTCATGCCACCCACTGGGTTTTACTTTTGTAAAAAGTATTTGCAATTGGATTATTTAATAAAAATTTGATAATGGACTCCTTTTTTCTCTTTATATATATATTTCTAGTGAACTTTCAATTGAGACCTGTGTAATATATTAATGTTTTAAAAATATTTCTTACTTGATAGCATTAAAATTGAAGATTCTATATTTATGTTTGATGTGAGTTTTGTTTGTGAGAATTCTGCTTACAGAAGCATCTGCTATGTTGATATAAAACAAATCTGTTGAGTACAGAAGGTTAATGCTCTCACTACAATAGAATGTCAACAACATTCTTTTTTATGATTCTTCTATTTAAAAAATTTTGGTTCAGTGCCATTGATTTTTTTTTGTAGGTGGTTTATCTGGAATCTAATGACTGCTACACTTTGTACATTGTAGCTGAAACAAAAAGGCAAAGAGAAACATGGATTAAAATGCTTAGAGATGGTAAGTATTTTTGATGAGAAATCCATAAGTTAAATAAATGTTGTTAAATGAATATTACAATTTGAATTTACAAAGATTTATCACATCATTAATTTTATATTGCAATATTTTGTTTTGTAATCTAAAATTTATTAAGTGGAAATATCATGTTTTTAACAAAATAGTTACCAATTATTGCTATCAAATAATTATAAAGAACTTCTTTAATCCAATGTTTATTCTGATGAAGAAAATGAAAGTTCAAAATAAATATTTAAAAATTTTGAGGTATCAAAAGTTATTTTGTAGCCACTGTTCTTCTTCATAATAGACACCTGAAGAAGACAGAGGATACAATGGCTGAAACATTGTGAGTATAACAACCAAGATAAGAATAATAGTTTGAATGTAAAGGTATATAATGATAATTCCTCATCTAAAAAATTTGAATAGAAATACATATGTATGCAGCTGTGGTAAAATGGGTCTTGGTGCATAGGATAAATGTGTAGGTACATATTTGTGCATTATCTAAAGCCATGAAATTTTTTGCCTGCATTATAATTTTATAAAATGTAAACAAAAACGTTTTTATGATTTATTTCCATTTATAAGTTCACCTATATTTTTTAATCTTATATTCCCAAAGTTATTTACTTAAATTAACAATTTATTTTTAGTTTATTTAATACATTTTCAGGACATTTTAAATAAACCTTTCAGAATGAAAGTTGGCTGACAAATCTTGCAGACTAAATGTAATTAGTGGGAAGGTGACTGATTAATTTATGTGATTCAGAGCTTTCATATTATATAGGTCTTGCATAACAAATTGGTGCCAAATCCTCCTAATTTAATCCAATCCTTACTACTGCTTGCCAAAAATGGTAATAAATTATCTGTGTCAAAAGATGATTGGTTAATCAGTTTATTAGAATATTTCAAATGTCTAAGATCATGCTGCACTCAAATAATCAATATTTGAAATTTTACACACCTACTTTGTATTTAAAAAATAATAAACATTTGCCAATTCCCACAAGCAATGTAATTTGCCATTTTTGTTTCAATTTTCAAAAATATCAATGGATCAGCCAAACAGTTTGCTGAATTTTAACAAGGTTTCTTTGTTATAAAATATAATAAAAAGATCTAATATTTTTCTTTACTTTTTGGGTTATTAGTTACTAGTTTAATTTTTAACTACTCTCACTAATTCAAAAAGGTATATAAATAGGTTATTCATTTGAAGCTAGTATTTTATTGTAAAACATTTATCTTAATTTCTGCTGAAAAAATACAAAAAAAAAATGTTTAAATTTTATTGTTTAAAATTATACATCAAATCAAAATTTGAAATCTCATTTTCCATTTTTCACTCCATTAACTGGTTTTTGATAAATGATTAAACAAATAGAAGGGCAGCATCATTTGTTCTGATCCCAACCACCTGGCCAAGGATTGCAGGCAAGGTTACTCAGAGAGGATGACCACCTGGGCATGCAGATCCCACCACGAGATACAGTGTTTTCGGTTAACAGGGTCGGACACATCTCATCAGAGTTCCAGGTAAACAGCTCTGGTGAAGAAATGTCAGCATGAGTCTTCTCACCAAGCAAATAAAGAACAAGGTGCTGCCTATTATCGAGGTGTCCATAGATGGAAAGAAGTGTATAGCCCTGGTTGACCTGGTTGCTTGTGGCCACTAGTGAGCAAATGTGCATTGGTCATGCACATTGATGCCCTAATTGTGGATGGACGACTATTTGGGTTTGATCTTCTTGTGATTGACACACTCAAATAACTGGGATGGGTGTACATAACCTGATTAGGAGAAGTGTACTTTTTATGAACGGTGCATGCCCCAGTGTGCTGCTATTTCCAACAATGAGCCCGACTAGTGCAGAGTTTGATGGTTGTAAAAAATAGTATGGACGCTCTCATGGAAATAGATGAATGGACAACCACCTATTTGAATAGAGTGCCAGAATATACAGTATCTCACTATGCACAGGGTGAATATGAGATGGAGCTCCAGTCGTGGCTGGATAATGGGTGACTGTGACTATATTCCAAAGACAAACTTGGCTCACCTAAGTCTCTGATCCCATCAATGGCATTTTACAAGAGAGCAAACAGAAGGTCTATCCACTACCAGATTACCAAGATTTAAATGGCTTTGTAGAACCATATACTGCTAACTTGGAGGTGTATGCACAAAAGTTGTGGGAATGGTGATGACTGGGGGCTAATGTATCCTTATTGGATTTACAAAGGGTATGTCTGCAGATACATGTTGACAAGGTGCTGTGGCCCTATCAATATTGAAGGGATGAAGATACTGCCTCATCCGACTGGGTTTCAGTTTAAATGTGGCACCTCCCATAAAGAAAGCCATAATTCACACAGTAATGTCTCAAGACAAAACCATTAGGAATACCACATCAGCATATAATGATGACATTTATGTCAATGAAACTTTGGTTCCTGTTATACATGTGAGAGAGCACCTATTCAATTACAAACTATTATGTAAGGATCCAGCAAGATTTGGAGATGGAACTAAAGTATTGGGATTGTTGGTCCCCATGGCACTCTTCAATAGAGGTGGAGTGAAGAAATCCTGGTTATCACTATGAAGATTACTCACTGACATAAGTTCTCCATATGTAGGAGACTTGTGGGCCACTTTCCCGTTTGCAGCTGGCTAAGAGTAGCAACTACATTTGTAACTGTTATGATAGCCAGAATACATAAGGCAGATCACATAGATGGATACTAGTGTGTGAATGGCTGCAAAATGAATGTACAGGTAGATGCAAGTTCTGTGGCCACAGAAGTGGTACTAGAAGTAAATGGAAATGTCATCAAGGATGCTTCTTGGCTGCATCTGACCTGGAGATGCTAAACACATCAATTTGGCTGAGCTAGATGTAATGATAAAGGGTGTCAGTTTGGCTCTTTGATGGCAGGTGTCAACATTACATCACTTCACTGATTCTGCATGGGTCCACCACTGGATTTCAAACACCCTAATACATACAAAGGCATCTGGTGAAATGTTAGTGTGGAAATGACTGGACACACTTAGTGAGCTTGTGGCTGAATACGGCTTGACAGGAAATATAACACTGGTCAAATCCAATCTGAATTGGGTAGACTGCCTTACCAGGGTGCCACAGGGATGGTTAAAACTACACAAAGAGGGAACTGAGCCAGTACAGTCAGTGTGGGCCACTACAAAGACCAAGTTGGATGCAAGTCAGGTGGCTAATATCCACCAACAAATGAAATACCTGGGCATAAAAAGTACCCAGTACTTTGTCAGGTTAGTAGACCCTTCAGTACCAACAGAAGTTATAAAGTTGGTCATCAAGGAATGTGAGGTTTGCCAATCCATTGACCCTGCACCAGTGCATTGGTCAAAAGGAAAGCTGAATGTGAGAGACAGCTGAAACAGGTTAGCAATGGACATCACCCACTATGGTAGTAGACATTTTCTGACAATCATCGATTGCAAACCCTCTCAGTTCACGATATGCCAATCACCAAGATTCTACCAGTGTAGTTTATCAGTTGGAGTCAATTTTTATGAACGGGGCCTGCCACGTGAGATATTGACCAACAATGACACAGCATTCATGTGCAATCATTTCAAGGACTTTTTGAGTAATTGGAGTGTATGTTTGAGGGTATGATGTGCCTATAGACCCGCTGGGAATGACATAGTAGAAAGAAGTCCCCGAAGCATCAAAACCATTGTGGCTAGAAAGCAGTGCTCTATACTCAGGATACGTACGAAGTGAGAGAAGTTGTTTGGGTAAAAACTCTTCATGGAACGTGCATGATTAAGTTTACAATAGGCCATGTGACTCAGGTTAATAGTTCACATTCTGTACACGTCAATGGAGTTCCACATCACGTGAAGGACCTATGTTCCTTCATGGGACTTGTCCCGATGTCTGGACATGACAGCGATTCTGAAGAGTGTGAGCAGTTAGTAAATTTGAGATCCACTCCACTAGGAATCCTTTGAAGATGAAAACAAATTCATTAGATGATTCCCAAACTACTGTCAGCCATGATACAAATGCAGTATGATCTGATAGCTTCCCTGGTAGTAGTTCATCTGAGGATGAAGCTTGTGTTGTTCTACTTCAGAGTAGTATCTGGCAAAAAGACCTGTTCCTGACTGTATTTTTTTAGATCAGGAGGAGTGTGGGGAACAGTTACATAAAAGTAAGTGAGTCAGAGTGGCTTGCATCTGGTTTAAAGGAAAATAAGTTCCTTACCTCACACAGCACATAGCAGTGACGTTTTGCTCCTTTGAAAATGGCATGAATCTATTCCCCTTTTAGATTATTCCAGAAGTGTATGATTCTGTAATGTTGGTTTTTATATAGCTTAGTGTGGTTTGACCAATAGCAAGCCATGTGCTGATTGGTTGAACTGAATGATGACATTTGACTGTGTGACTGAAGATGAAGCAAAGAATGCTGATTGGTCAGTTGGCCATAATTTTGGTATAATAAAAGCAGGCTGAAGCAGTGAGAAGGCTGTAACAATTTTTACGTTGGTGATGTGTGCATGAATTCAAGAATAGTGTCTTGAGAAGGAGCATTCAGTGTTTTACAAGCAGTGTCAGAGGAATAGAACCTCATTTAACTGCAACCTGTTATGTTGACCACACAGCAGTATATGACAACATCATTAAACTTCCTCTTCTTATCCATTAAAAAACATCTTCCAGGCATTGACTCTACTGAATATTTAGTTCTGATAAAGGAACTGTTGGTCCACAAAGCCCTACATGTCTGGGGAAGACCTCAATACCAAATCCTTTCAAACCCCATTAGGAGTATGACAAGGGAGAAATGAGAGCTCTTTGTAGACTATGCTATGTGCATATACACACACAGATGTGAAGGGATGGTACTGATCATTTAAGTGTTCCATAGCATATCTCAAATTAATCTACTAATAGAAAACACAGTTCCTGTTGTTTTTCCTCCCAAGGCCAGTGTACTGATGATGAGGGTGAGGTCTATGCTGATGATATAGGTATTCATAGTTGAGATAAGAATGGTCTTGAACAAATTGAAAATCAACATTTTCTACCAAGTGTTCCAAGATAAACCTTTCCAAAACAGAAATTATTATATGGAGTTGAAATGAAAGCAAGGATGCACATACCCTGAATCCATCATAAAAATTCAGGATGTGGATAAATAACACTTCAGATATATATGTATGGATCAGTTATAACAAATTTACTATAGGAGATAAGGAAATTCATTGTAAAATAGGTTGTGCTTGGGGTAGTTTTGTCTAACACCACAAGATGCTACAAAACCAAAACATTAACCTAAGAAATCAAGTCATGTTCTTAAATAGCCTTGTCAGCTTGAGACTTTCATATAGATGTCATGCATGGCATCCAACCCATTCAGAAATGTTTAAACTGTCAACTTTATACAACCACTTTCTCAGATCAATAATTAAAATGGCTTTTGGCAAAAGAACCCAGTAGGTCTTAGTGGGATCATCCTTCTTCGGGCTTCATTGACTGGTGCTACAGCATCACAAGCAAAGAACTGTATCAAATAACAGAAACCAGATCACTTGAAGACTTTCAACAGCAGCAACAACTAAAATGGATAGCACATGTAACTTGAAGAGAAAACAATGACATCATCATGATGTTGATATTTCATACTAATTCCAACTAAAAGTTAGGAAGAAAACCCCCATCAATACTGGAAATAGCAATAAACAGTAGATTTGAGAAACCTATTTTGATTTAACAAAAAGATTTTATAAATTTCAACTGAGAGCAATACTAGCTATTTTATTAGTGAATACTGAATATTTTCATATAAGAAAACGTCTAGTATTACCATTACCATTGTGTTGTAGAGTAGTTTTCACAGTGGAGGCTTGTATTTCACTAAGTCGGTCCTAAATTAGGTTCGATGTAGGAACTTGAAAATAATAGTTAATGACGCAGCAATCTAGTTGTGGTGTTTGATACTTCAATGTCCGACATCGACTGACTCACTCAACTCCACTGAGCCCACTGACGACTGCTACTACTACTACTTATTATCTGTGTGAGAGTCTATTTACGATAGAATAGGTATGATCTAGTATAACACATTGCTCAAGTCTCTAAATAATATCTATAATTGAATGAGAGTTGCATAGCAAACCAAATCAATTTTACACACACTCCTGATCAGAAAGATGCATCTTTTTCCTGCTAATATGCCACCATGCACCTTGTACTCCAATAAATCTTAAAAAACAAAATTCTTAAAATTGACAATTTCTAAGGAAGCTTAAAAGTCTAAAACATTGTAAGTACATAATATATAAAGAAACTAAATTTTAAAGATCTCCATCTCCCCAACTTTTGTCTACATGTCTAGTCATTAAACACTGAAATAGAAAGAGATATATGTAGAAGTAGAGAGGGAAGATGGCAAAATTCTTCTTTTTTTTCATATGGAGAGTTAATGGTATTAATTAGATACAAAAACAGGGAAGTATTGATTGAATAAAGTGATACTTAGACAAAACTGGATTTTAGTATGTGATCATTTACCAAATTTATTCTGAACACAAAAATTTGCTATTTTGAAATATCCTTGTAGGCCATACTGGGTAGACTTGTAGGCTGCATATGACTTGTAGGCTGTATTTTCTGCAGCCCTATTCTGAGTGACTCTAATTTTGATCAATTTTTTTCTTTTAATAATTGTCTACAGAAAATATTTTATTTTTATCTTTTTTCTAAAATTTGCATACTCTAAAAATTTTTTTCATAGTGTGCAAAGGCAAATGCTCATCATTTTTTTCAAAGTACCATCCAGGAGTATGGACAAAGAGTTTGGATAAGTACACATGCTGTGATCAAATAGATCGAAAAGCACCAGGATGTGAATTGTCATTTACTGAAAGACATGGTAAGTTACTACATGCTAAAAATAGATATCATTTATTCTGATTTTTAATTTTTAAAGTTTTAACTTTTATCTTTAATTTCTTTAATCTTAATTCCTCTCAGAATAAATTTGAAAGCAGTTTATTGGTTATAGAGAATGTAAACATGATATTGAACCAAATTTGAGAAAAGTATTGGAAAATAATTTATCAGATTTGTATTAAATGTAAGCATTTCATATATATGAAACAAAGTAAAAGTTCAAGGAAATAAGTATCAAGGCAGTTATCATTATGGGAAAAATGAGTTAATGAAAAGATGTGTGGATTATTAACACATTGGCCAGCCAATTGAAAACCAAAGACCAGAATGCAAGGTATTTTCTAATGTTGAAAGAAAGATGTTATGAAGTTGATACCTACACAACAGTAGTAATCGTCACAAGAGACACTCCCCCAGTCTCTCTCAAGTTCTGCCTATATAGTGGTATGGTTATGTTAATTAGTATTAGCCTAACCAATACCACTACACCTCCCGGAACCTTTTAGGTTTGCTTCTCCTGCATACCCTCCCCTTTTCACTGGTTTCAAGAGGAAATCTCAACCTACTTCTTTCTTCTTTAATATTCACCATTTCATTTTCTGATTCCTCAGAAAACCCTTGAGCACTCATTGTCTCTTCTGAACTATTATCTTGTTCTTCTCTATCCTCATTTAACTCCTCAGTATCTTCAGTTTCTGAGTTTTCATAGTTTTGGCACAATCTTAGTTGGTCAGCATGTGCCAATAGACCTCTACCATTCTTGGAAACCAATGCTGTATTCTGTCCCTTCTGCATTACAAATCTTACTTTTTTTTTACTCCATTTGTTGTTCCTTATTCTCTCTATGATCCTATTCAATAGTGGTTCTTGTAAAGTCTCCACAAGTCTATAAATGGGCAATACATCGGTCTCCACCCAATGTAAAATTTCATCTTCACTTTCTCATTTTCCTCGTGTTGTTCCTCCTCAAACTGTAGTTATGATAGTGCATCTGCATGTGGGATCGTGTTTCTTTTCACATATTCTATTTCATAGTCAAAGGCCATCAACTTCATTGTATCCTTGACGATGTGACCATCGGCAATTCTTTTCTGGGATGGAATATAAATTCTAGCGGTTTATGATCCGACCTGAGCAAAAACTTTTTTCCTAACAAAAATTCTCTTGCTCTGGTCATGCTCCATCCTTTACCGTAACGCTTCAATGCATCCTTTTCAAAATTTGAATAGTTCTTTTAGGCTGGCGTTAACTTCCTGGAAAGATACATCACCGGGCATCCTTCCTATGACAAAATTGCTGATACAGACTGTCCACTCACATCTGTTGTTAACGTAACTTCTTTTTTATGGTCAAAAATCTTGACAACCAGTTTTTTGGATAATGCTAACTTCAATTTAATAAAGGTTAATCTGAAACTCCTTATTTTTTTTAGCAATTCAGCAAATGGCTCAATTCTTTCTGAATATTTTGATAAGAACTTTCTATAAAAGTTAGCTAATCCAAGAAATGATTCTAACTCTTTCTTATTATTTGGAGACGAAACATTCTTTATTTTCTGTATTAACTTTGAGTCCGGTGAAGTATCCTCCTCTGAAATTTGATATCCCAAAAACATTAATTTTTTGCACTTGAATATACATTTATCCTCATTTAAAGTCATTCCTGCATTTCTGAGTATACTCATTACCATTTTAGTTTTCTGATTTAATTCTTCTTCAGTACAGGTGCCTAACCCAATATCATCCTGGTATTATTATATTTTTAATTTTCCTTCTAGTAGATTTTCCATGGCTTTCTGAAAAATCGGACTGGCTGTCTTAACTCCAAATGGTAAGCCAGTTCACCTCAATAAGCCTATTTATTATTGTAACTTCTTTGAATTTGTCACCTGTTTGGATTTGGTGGTATGCATTCTTTAAATTGATTTTAGCAAAATATTTCATTCCTGCAAAGGAATGCAATATGTTTTCTACATTTCCAATAGGATATGAATCTGAACAAATTTTGTGATTCACACCTACCT